GTGAATTTTTGCAAATACAGAATTGAAAAATTATCATCAGAAATGTGTTGCTCACTTCTTATCAGTTTTTAGTACTAGAAATGTGTTGTATTTGTTATATTCCAAGGTGTTAAATACATTTCTATTATTTTAATTAGCTTGCCCCTGTGTCCCTAGGTCTCGTTTCATATTTCTGTGCACGTATTTGTACTGTGAATATAATACTGCAAGAGGAAGGAGGCCTCATGGCACTGGCAGATTCTTTTTCTCTCTATTGTATAGCAATATTAAAAAGATTTTCATTGTAACCTTATGTATATGAAAAGGACACGGCTGTAGAACTGCAACCTAGACGCTAATCAAATAAAATAAATTGGTGTTAAGACTGTAATACTACTTATTGCTATAGTTCCAGGTGGAATTTACTGTGAAGAAAAGCAATTGGTTTAATATCTGACAAAATGCAGCACTTAGTTTGCTTTCCTCACAAGCTTCCTATAAACACAAGCTGGAGTAGACCAATAAGAAACTATGATCCTGGAAAAATGTTAGTTTAGATATGTTACTTTCTCCCTCCCCAGTGTTGAATATCCTGTTTAAAAAAAAAAATTGATGAGTGAAATCCTTGAATGAAAGTTTACAGGCAAAACCTTTAGATGAGATTGGGGAATGTACCAGGTGTGCATTCTGAGGATTTCTATCAGATCTTGATCTGTTCAGCCTTGCTGTAACCATCAATTTATTATTCCTGGATGTGTCTGTGTGTACAAGAGATAAGCACAGGAGACCTACCTTTTCCATTTTTTTTACAACAGAGAAAAATATAGAAACAATTTATATCAGGTTAAAATTGCACCTCATTCTTACGAAGCTATCTGAGAAGCAGCTGTTTTCTACAGGCATCAAACCACCTTGATAAATGACTATCAAAATCAGCGACTGCCCCAAGACTGCATGGTTATTTTTAGCTGCTGCATTGCTATAGCAACATGCTACAATGAGGGAGTGCGTTGCTACAGCGATGTAGCTGCAGTGTCACAGTTTGTGCCCTCCTACGCTATGCTGCGTAGTGCATTTCTACAGCAATGTAGTGTCTTGTGTAGATGTGTCCAATATGTTTGTATCCCAGATACAAAGGATCCATGTCCTAATTAATTTCCACTAATGACTGGAACCAGGTGTTCTTATCACAAGTCTTGGTACCATCCCAAAATGTAGATGTGGATGGAGTATAGGGCTTCCTGGTCTTTCTCCCCTAAACTTCCTGGAGCCCTGCAACAGGTCCCTACTGCCACCAGCACCAGGGAGAGCTCAAGGCTCCAGCTGCCAGCAACCAGCAGCCATCTTCAAAAGGCAGTTCTGCTTGCTGATCTTTGGCCAGCAACTTCCCTTGCCAGGACCATCATGTCCAGTGCAGGGACAGCACTTGGAAGTTCTCTCCTTGCCCACTCTGCCTCCCTGTGCTATGGCTGCTCCAGCCCCTGTCCCTAGCAACAATGACCAGTGCCCTGGGCCCCTTCTGGCAGCTGTTCCGGCCCTGCTGGCCTGCTATGCAAACGGCTGCCTGGTCCACAGCTATCTGGTCCCAGCCAGCTCTCCCCCATGCAGTGACCGCCTGCCTGGCTGCAGCACGCCATCCCAGGGTCACTGCCATGCAGCTCCCACAAGCAGGGATACTGAAGAGGGGTTTCTGGATGCCACTGTCAGGACCACTGTTGCCCTCCTGGGCCTCCAGCCCTGCTGCATCTGGGCCCTCCATGCCAGGTAGGACTGGTGGTGGCACATTGTCCAGCACACCTCTTCCCACAGACACCCACCTGGCCCTCACCATGCTCAAGCTGGCCAGGCCAACCAGCCTGCAGTATATTAGCCACCTGTTTGGTGTGAGCAATGCCACCACTGGGGAGGCCATCATGGAGGTGTGCAGCACCCTCCAGGACATTCTGGCAGACACCGTACTCCATGTGCATGACCTCCTGATGGTAGTGGCAGGGCTCTGTGCCTTGGGGTTACCCCAGGGCGTAAGGGCCCTGAACAGGACCTACATCCCTGTCACCTGCCCACACCACAGGGACCGGCCCTACTACAGCTGCAGGGGATTTCAGTCCATGGTGCTCCAGGCCATCATGGACCACCATGAGGCCTTCACACAAGTGAGTGCTTGGCTGGGCAGGCAGTGTCCATGATGCCCACATCTTCTGGAACTTCAGTCTGCTGGGCCTGGTGGAGAGAGGCTGCTTCATGCTGGGATTGCTGGACTTGCAGCTGAGTGCTATGCACATCCCATCCCTCCTCCTTGAGGACCTCACCTACCCACTTCTGCTGTGGCTGATGTGGCCCTACACTGGCCACCTGGATCCCTGCCAGGCCCACTTCAGTCACTTCTGGGGCTGGACCTGCGGTCTGTTTACGTACACCTTTGGGGTACTCCCACCCTGCTGCTCCCCACCCCACATGGCCCACAAAGGACATCTGGATGTAGTTTAGTTTGCAGTGATGCATTGCAGTTGTCAATTCACCCCTCGGCTCTGGGAGAGGTGGGCAGGCTCTGCAGAAAAAAAGGATTGGGCCCCTTGCTGCCTCTGCCTTCAGTAGGTGCCTACTGAAGGCAAAAGTGGCAACAGGCCTGATCCTTTTTTGTTTGTTTGTTTTGGCGGAGCCTGTCCACCTCTCCCACAGCCAGCGGGCTGAGTGGCCCCTGAGCTGTGGGAGGCCCTGGGCCTTCCCTCCATGGTGGCAGCATTCCCCTGGGCTGCTAGTGGGCTGGGTGCTGCCCCGGCTCAAAGGCAGCACCTGGCCTGATCCAACTTTTCTCCAACCCCAAGCTGGCTGGAGTAGCACTTGGCCCACTGGCAGCCTGCCCAGGTGGCCCTGGGGGACTGCTACTGCCACAGAGGGAAGGACCAGGGCCCCCCACAACTTAGGGGCTACTTGGCCTCTCAGCAGCTCACGCCCCAGCTGCGGGCAGGCTCCAACAACAAGAAGAAAAAAGGATTGAGCACCTCGCTGTAACATGATAGAAACATGGAAATGGGTTTCAATTAAGAACCCACTGTTTCAATTTAGGGGGCATAGAATGCAACTTTGGGGATTAAACCCCTGTCACATGTACAAGCGCCCTTTATATCTACATCTGGACAAGGACCCTGGGCAAAAACAGAACAGGTGCATTGTTTTGTGTCATTCTTTTCTCATTGCTTATGCTTTTGTTTTGATAGAGAAAAGGCAAGCACATTAGCATAGGTATGGTTTATGGTACGGGGGCTGCAGCCACTGCCAGTGCACCAGCAGCATGGAGCCAGTGTGGATGTGGCTCAACTGTCAGGAGTTTCTCTGCTTCCAGTGCCCTGGATGATGGAAGCACTGCTGCCAGTTTACTGTCCACAATAAGATCAGCTAAGATCACTGCCTGTAGCCAATGTGGTTCTGCCTCCAGACCACTGGAATGTGGAAAGGGCTGAGTCTAGGTTATTTTAACATAGTTCAGTAGAAACCTGTCAAGAGCATATTGTAGCCAATGATAATATGAGTTTAACTGCTCACTTACCAGAGTTAAGGGTAAATTCTTATATAATTAATGCTATTTATAACTGCTTTTTACTGTGTAATATTACTGTGTAATTACCTTCAAATACTGCCACCCTCTATTTTTATAGAAAACAGAGTGTGGAAATCTGAATGAAATGATGATCTTGTGCTTGTTCTATTGGAATGGATTGGGTTTAAAGGATAAAGCAGGAGAAAAATTGATGCTTTTCCAGCTGGTTCAAGATCTGCTTTTTACACCTCTGGCATAGTTTTAAAACCACAAACCTGTATTGTTTAAAAACAAATCACTTAATTTGGTCTATTTGTTTAAAGAGGTTTCTTGTCTTGGCTAGGAGCTAGATTGAAACTCTCTGCTGGCATTAAAAATATCAACAGTATTCGGGAATCCCAAATAATTTCTTGTTGTTCCTGAAAAATCAGGTAGCCAGCAGATAATGTATAAAAATTAAGGTCTATAGAATTTGTTGGGAAGTATATGGTGCATTTTTTCTCCTCAAAGGGTTCTTTCTGTTAATTTGTTTTGTTTTTATAAATTCAGAAATTTTACTTTATCAAATGCTGGCAGCCAAAGCTTTTCTATGAAAGTTGTTTATGGCTGCTGCTAATGTTGTATTTCTTTCTGGTTTTGGTGTTCCAAAGCCAAATTACTGTGACTAATGTACTACTGTAAAATTTTGTAGCCATCTACAGTACTGCTGTCTGCATGTGATGCATGGTATCTTTTTAGTGAATTCTTTTTTTATGTTACACAAAAATGGCATTTCTGCTATATTGGTTTAGCATATGGTAAAACATTTCAGTGATATATTGTGGTGTTCCAAAAATACGTTAACTATTGTAAATGGAAAAATGGCTATACTGATATTCCAACACTTTATAGACAGTTCCTAAGTGGGAAGTGTATACCGGTGGCTTTTAAGTCAAGAAGATGGATAAAAAGGAGAAAAGGTTCTTTTACGTCTAAAGTAGATCTGTGTTCATGGAACAGAATACCTTGTATTTTGGGATAAATTAATGCCTTTTCTGTTTATTTTTTGCTAACATTTCAACTGCTACATTAAACCTACTTATTGCCTAATCCTGGTTGATACGCTAAAAGAATAATAGAAATCCCTTTTAAAGTAGATGTGGGACTCTGCATTGTAAAATGATAAGCATCCTTTTTTCTTTGCCTTTTTTTCTCTTCTATTTTTTATTGTAAAGCTCAGCCCAAAAGTAATATATCATGGTCAGACAGTGGATATTTTACTAACAGGATCTTTTTTATACCTGTCATTGACACATTTAATTTATTAGGTTCAAAAATCCACAAGTAAATTTTTGCAGACTATAAAACATAGCTTTATCCAGTGAGCAACAAAAGGTGAAAAATTATGTTATAATACACATGGAATACTGGTCTTCTATAGAGACTTTTTCATAAATGTATCTAGTCTGTTTCTGTATGTAATTCAACTGTTTCTTGTTTTCAGACCACAGAATGGATCTATGATCCTGTATAATAGGAAGAAGGTGAAATACAGGAAAGATGGATATTGCTGGAAAAAGAGGAAAGATGGAAAAACCACTAGAGAAGATCACATGAAACTGAAGGTTCAGGGAGTAGAGGTAGGAGAACAAAGGATTTGCTCTTGAGTGGAAGGAGACAAAGAGGAGTGCTTCCATGAATCATTTGTTCATGTAATTCTATCAGTGCTTTGAAAACAGTCTTTATATTTGCTATTTTCTTACCCTAAAAACATCTCCATTACAGTTTTTGGTAAAATCTGAAGGTAGCTCCACCTCCACATTGTACTGCTGATCTCAAATTGTCATGAAGTTAAAAGACTGTATTGTTGAACATATTGAAGTGTTGGGAAATATCTTTCAGCTGGGTACTTGCTGTTCTATCTACAGCAAACACCAACAAAAACAAACAAACATTTCCAGCACAGGTTGCTAAGCGTTTGCAAATCTTCTTTTTGAGAAATGTGTAAGCCTCAGTATTTCACATGTATATGATTAATATGTACATAGTATTTGGTGCTTGTCAGTCAGAATTTCAGGAGGGGCACTATAAGTTGCACTACCTTGCATGTGCTTATTAAGCACCTGATCTTGCTCCCAGAGGAGGCAAAAGTAGCATAGGGCTCTTGTGCTGGATGAGCCCCTAATTCAAGGTGTGTTCTAAAAGTACGTTTCAGCACTGTGGTGGTTGCTACACTATTCAAAGGAGGTCTGATGCTAATGACTTCACCTGATGCTTATAAATTTCCTTCTGGAACATGCATATTTTCTTTGTACCGTGTGAGTGTTTGATTGTGCTTCCCCTTCCTGTATCTTGTGCCTGGGAAAGCAATTCCTGTGCATTAATATGCATGAGAGGTGTAGAGAACTGTGGAGAAGGTACATTTAGTTAAATATGACTTTTCCCTAATTCTGCCTATTAAAAGATTCCCCCATTTACCTCAACAGTGATGTTGAACCCCGCATACTTTCCTGCCTATGCAGGGGGTCGGACTTGATAATCTATTGAGGTCCCTTCCGACCCCAACATCTATGAATCTATGTTCTCACTGGGTGCGACTACACGTTATGGTACATTAAATTTAGTACCTGTACTGTCTCTTTACTCTGTGCTTTGGGCCATAGTGAGAGAAAAAAAATGTGTAATTGATTTATGAAGGCAGCCTTCAAGGAAGACTCTGGGACAAGTGACCAGTGAATTGATAAGTGTGTGTTTGTGCATGCATGTGTATGTATCCTTCTAGGAATAGTATTCCTGAAGGAGGCCTTTCAAGTTTCAGAAATATATTTAGGTAAACTCGATTGATTTTTTTTTTCTTGTTTATATGATGTATTGATTCTAAGAGGCCTGAACCTGCCTTCAGTGACTTGGGCATAACTCCTTCTGTAGTTGATAGCGGTGATTAACGGTGGGTCAATTGAGTCCAGCATCTCCAAGCATATGCAACAGCTGTAATTCTGCATTAACACTAGCCATGAGAGTAATAAAGATTCCTGTGCCCCTCAAAAAACTGAGTCCCTCTTTATTCAAGAGAAGACTAGGTGGAGATGCAAGTTGTACAGCATCCTCTGATCAGGTTCTTTTGGACCAAAGCATGGAAGTCAGGTGCTTTCTGCTGAGAATACTTTAGCCACAGATATACAGATCTATAGACTGTCAGGTCAAACAGCTCAGCTTTTAACTGTCAGGTAAGGTCCTCACAGAATCCCAACCAGGTGTGGCTTTATAGACTAGAAACCACTCTCAGGGCACCATTTGGAAATAATCTGGAAATCAGTGCAGTCTGTGGAGCATAGATGTAATGTGTTTCTTGCACTGTATACCTTTAAATGAGCTTAGCAGCTTTCTATGCTAAGTGGGGGCAGGTGTAATTCCAATGAGGGTGTTCCAGGGAGTCTGTCCAGAGGTGTCAAAACCAAGAGGACTATGACAAAGAATGATTACTGTCTTTTTTGCCATTAAGTAGGTGAAAAAAGGATGTTGACCAGTCAGCTATGTTGGCCCCTGGAAGCATCAAATCATAATCCCACACACCACACCTGGTGAAGTGCCTCTTCACAAAAGCTATTAAATGTGTCTGATATTAAATATATGCACATGGCAATCAGTGTCATTGAGAATACTTGCATCCTTAAATTGGATGATTTGGGGTCCCTGACTAGCACCAACATTGTTTTATCCAGATTAGGCCTCAGCCATCTTGCTCTCATCCAGACTCCAGTCTAGGCCAGAATTTGAGCAAGCCAAAAGATTGTATCATCTGAGTCAGATAATACAGAGCAGCACAGCTGAGTATCTGCAGCCTGAGGATGACACTGCAGCCCAAACTAGCTCACTGTCCCCTCCCACTTCAGTTTAGGCATGAGACCTATTCTAGTAATGACCACCTAATGGGATGTGTGGAAATAAACACATAGGCATGGAAGGGGCAATATCCTGTTACTGGAGGCAACCTCATCACTTGAACCCTGTCATCAGTTTTTCAATCTGCATCTTCAGGCTGGTCAGATTTCTTGCCTCTGATGCTCTTATTGAAAGGCTATTCCTGAGCCTTGCTTCACTGATGCCTAGAAACCTTCTAATTTCTAGACTCAACTTATCATATACATTTGTTTTTATACAAAGGCTTCCCTTTTTCTTTTCTCTTTCTCTTGGGCTTACCCTGCTGATACGCTTATAGATAGGGATCTATTGAAATTGCAAGTTTGCAATTTTCACTGAAGCTGCAATTTCAGGCAGTCTTGGCAAAAAAGTGAGGGCCTCAGAAAAAAGCACGAAGTCACTGGGGGGTGGGGGGGCAGGAGCGGGACTGCAAGAAGAGAAAAGAACAAACTGGAGGCTGAGCCCCTGACGTAGAATGGAGTCCAAGATTGGAGGTGGCAGCTCCACCCTGCCTCCTGCCTCCAGTCTATTCCCTATCATTTTTGCATAACCCCATCGCCCTTCCATAGCCCTATTTTGGTAGTCTAAGCAGACAAAGCTCTTCTTACCTCATCTTGCAAGGTAGGCTCTTTTTTCTCCTGATGATCCTTGTAACCCTTCACTGCACTTATTTCAGTTTCAGTTCTCTTGAATTTTGGTGTCTAGTACTGCACACTAATTCCAGATGACGTCCTGTTCATAGATATCCTTCCACGTTTGATACTGCTTTGCAGAATGAATTGTGGGGCATATAAGACCATTTGAATTCGTGATTGCTACGGGTGTGCGAAGTGGGCCCTATTCTATTCGGATTCGGATTTGATGCTGCAAGATGCCATGATTTATGTGCGTCCAGACCAAAAATCAAGCACAAAACAAACCAGGTATCAGGAAAATTAACCGTAAAGGCTAATAGGTAAGGCACTGCAGCAGCAATTTTGAATTGAACTGAAGAACAGCTTTTAGGGACAATAAGACTTAGATCCTGCCCAAGAAGTCAATACCGATGTAACATATGACTTTTTTTGGCTGACAAAATATCATTGATGTAGCAACCACTGCAGATGTCTTTTAGACAAGGAAATCTAAAGCTTATAGAGCTGTGCAAAGGAAAAAGAAAAACCAAAGCAAGCACCACCTCCCCAGCAACACCTAAGAAAAAGGAAGCCGCTAAAAAAATCTTTCTGAAATAGATTCCAGCCAGCAGGAGCAGCTGCTGAAGCAGCCAAAGCAGGAATTTTGCTTTGGGGAGAGAGGGAGTTAAATGGGAGCCCAGCCATGGACACCTCTCTTCCCCTCCTCTGCACCTGTGCACCCCTGTATCTGGAATTGTCCACTTTCCCACTAGTGTGCACAAGTGGTTCCCATCACTCCCTGTGCCATGTAGCCTGAGAGGACTCTGCAGAGAGAAGCCAGCAGGAGAGTCCAGCTGGTGGGTGGGCAGGGATGACTGGCCATTCTGAGAGCTTTTTCAGACCCTTGCTGAGTAGTTGTTTGCTCCAGCTCTCCTCTGACCCATTCCTCACATTTACTGCACCTCAGTTTACTCACCTGCTCCTCTTAGTTCTTTCTCTCCTTTCCTATCCTGCTCACCCATTTTCTTTCTGTGCTCCCTCCCTTTCTTTTTCTTTCCATGTAGCTGATTCCTTCCTAATGAAAGACAGCCAAAGCGTGACTGTCTTGTGGAGCTCACATTCTCCTTGCTGTCATTACAGTGTTCAATTCTGCTGATTGACACCCTTTCCAATACCTCTTGTCTGGTGCTCACCCTAGATTGAGTGGTCTAGTTTACAGGTATGCCATTAAATGACCTCAGCTGTGTGAGTCTTTGAGGCTGCCATTCCTTTTCTTTCTAGTACTTTCAGGAATGAGTAATCAAAGGTGTAGTCCTGTGGTTCTCAACCTTATTAGATTCAAGGTACCCCTTGAAAAATGCCAGCTCTCAGAGCTTTTAGCTTTCTCTCATTTTTTGACTATGGAAAAATAGAGTAATTCTTCTATTGCAAAGAACTAAAAAAAGACCACAGCAGGTCAGACATGGTTGTGATACTTAGGGTTCCTGTTTGAAATCTCTGAGTTTATCTTATGAATCATTTGCAGGTGTTTGCACACTTAATAGTGCTAATGATGTGTGGCACCCTTAAAAAGATCTTGAGGCACTCCAGAGTGACACAACACCCTGACAAAGAATTACTGGTGTAGTCAAATGAAGTTGGAAAAGTGAAGACCATTGCTACTCATTTGAATCCCATGCTTCTCCTCCACTTTCTCTTATAGCAGACTGAGCTACACTCTTCCTGTGGTTGGAAAAGTTGGCCCCGCCCACTGGTTTGTAGAATCATTTGCAAATCCTTTGCAGGGAGTGCTTAAAGGGATGTGGTTTGTATCTTGTAATGGCTCTAGGAAACTCCTTGCTTCTGGGACAATCCCAGACCCATATTGCCTGGCCCAGCCACTGTAAACATCCTGGATCACTGCCCAACTAACCTGTGGTACAATGATGTCTTCTCACCATCCACTAGGTCATTATCGATCTGAATTCTGAACCATGTAGAGACTCTGTCTTCATTTTCTTGACCTCTAAGTGTTATTCAGAGAGAAATAAATATTTCTGAAGTTCTTGATTAACTACTAGATTAACACACAACACCTTTTGATATTTCAGGAATGAAGTTGCAGT